TGTTGTCCTTGTCCTTGTCCTTGTTTTTGGTCTTGTTTTTGGTCTTGTCCCTGTTATCGCGTTGGTTGCGGCTGGGAGACCTGCTCTTGGAGGCAGTCCTTTGGTGGCTGGAGGAGGAAAGAAGACCGTCCTGCTTGTGGGACCTTGCCGAATTCGGCTTTGGTTTCTGGCTCTGGCTCTGGTTCTGTCTCTGTTTCTCTTTTCTGGTGCTGCTTCTGCTTCTGCTTCTGCTCCGGATGCTTCTCCTGCTCCGGTTGCTCTTGCTCCTGCTTCTCCTGCTCCGGTTGCTCTTGCTCCTGCTCCGGGTGCTGGTGTAGCTGGTGGTGCTGGCGTTGCTGCCCCTCCGCTTGGCGCGGGCACGGACCTCGTTCTCGCCCACGGAGGTCCGCTGGCCGGGGTGTGCCTCGCTTGGATCGCAGCAGTCGTCGTCGTCGTCGTATTCGTCGTCGTCGTCGTATTTGTATTTGTATTCGTAATCGTATTCGTATTCGTAATCGCAATCGCGGTCTCTGTAGTCTCCAAGGAAGCCATCGCGGTCGTCCTTGTCTCCGCGGTCCCCCCTCCGGCTCCGGGAGAGGGACCGCAGGGTGGAGGACGGGCTGGCCGGCACGGACCCACCGCCGAAGCGGATGCACCCGTGGCTTCCGCCAAAGGTCGCTTCGATGTCCAGGTGGGACGGGCGGTGGACGTCGCTTTCGCAGTGGCCCGGATCGGGGCAATCGTGGTCGAATCCGTAGCCACCGCCCGTGCCGTGGTGTCCTTCTCGCTCGCGCAAGGAAGACCTGCTGGAGACACTGTGGGCGCGCCTCCTCGCCCTCGTGGTCTGCGGTTGCGGTTGCGATTGCTGTTGCGGTTGCGGTTGCGATTTTGGTTGGGATTGCGATTGCGATTGGGATTTTGGTTGCGATTGGGATTGCGCTCGGAGTTCTTCTCGTGTGTGTTCCCTGGCCCGCAACCGGGACTGCCGGAGCTTCGGCTGCGACCGGGAGTTCCACTTCCAGGCGTCTTGGTCTTGGTCTTCGTCATGGTCATGGTCTTGCTCATGGTCTTGCTCTTGCTCTTGCTCTTGGTCTCCCGGCTTGCCTTTTTCTTCGGGCGGCAGCGGCACCGAAGCGTCCCCGGTGGACCTCCTCCGGGACCGCCGGGGGGGCTGGCTTTTCGACCGGAGGGGCGGGGTGGTAAGGGCACCGGCACCGGCACCGCCAACGGCACTGGCACCGGCGATGGGCCCCCCCGGTCCGGGGTGCTGGGGCCCCCTGCGCCGGGCCGCAAAGAGGCCCATCCCCAGGGGCGTCGGCGTCGGCGTCGGCGTGGAAGGCCACGACTCCGTCCCGTCGTCGAAGCGTTCCGATCGGCTCCCGGTGCCTTCCGTGGAAGGAGAAAAGGAGGAGAGCTCCGAGCCAGAAGAAGAAGAAGAAGTAGTAGAAGAAGAATACTGGGAAGGGGAGGCGGCGTGGGCAAAGGAGCCGTGGGAGGAGGGATCCTCCCTGGAACACGGGCCGCTCAGGCTCGAGATGCTGGCGTGGTTGCTGTTGCTGTTGCCGTAGCTGTTGCTGTTCCCAAGGCTGTGCCGCCGGTAGCTGCGGTTGGTGTTGTGGTTGATGTTTTGGTGGTACATGGTGTCGTCGCCGGGGGTGGCCTCCTGGTGCAAAAAGCGAATGTGGTAGTACGGGTGGCCGCTGTCGCTGTCGTTGTCGCTGTCGTTGTCGCTCTTGTTGTCGCTCTTGCTGTCGCTCGCCTTGCTCTTGGAAACGATGCTTCTGCCAATGTGCCTGTTGCTTATGCTGTTGCTTATGCTGCGGCTGTGGCTGGACGGATCGATTCCGATGCCCTCGTAGCTGTTGGGGCTGACCTCCCGGATGTGCCTGCTGGGCGATGGGAACCTCTGCCTCGATACATTCGCGGGGGGGTCCCTGTGCTTGTGCTTGTGCTTGTGGTTGTGGTTGTGATTGTACTTGTGATTTTTGCTGTCTTGGTGGTTGTTGTTGCTGTCTTGGTTGCTCTCGTGGTGGTTGTTGTTCCTCTCGTGGTTGCCCCTCGTTCCGGGTCGGCTCCGCCTTCGTCTCTTGGTATTTGCAGTGGCAACGGCAGCGGAGGCAGCAGCAATGGTGTCGGCTGCTAGACTGTGGAGGCTTCGGTTGCGGCCCGTTAGGTTGCTGTTGCCGCGGGTGCTTTTTGTTTTGCTTGTTTGGTGTTCCATGGTGGCGGGGAGGGAGTTCTTTGGCGGCACAAACCAAACGGACCGGATTATCAATGTGCTCCCGGGTGGATGGAATGCCGGGTATATATGTCGTGTCTCGGTAGTACGGTGCCTCTTAGAGCGTCGGGCCTCTCGTGTCCGGCTGTTCCCTAAAACTTGTTTCTACCGTGTCTCTCGTGCGGTACGGTAAGTATTGCCTATATGTGGAAGGGTTGCATTGGCACTACTACGGGCACTGTGTCAAAGAGTGGTATTTCTTTTCCCGAAGTGGAAGAAACCAAAGAAGAAAAAACGTTCTGGTGGCGCGTCAACCCCGGGCAAAACAAACCCACTCGGCCTTCGTTTCACGGTGGGTGCGTGCAACTTGTCACACGGAACCAAGCGTTTTTGGCACCAGAGCATTCCTGCCGTGTCTGCTCGGTAGTACGCCGCGGTACTAACCGTATATGTATTGAGCTTCCGTTTGCGGTTGCAACCGACGCATTAAACCGTGGGGCAACAACGCAACCTATATATGTTCGATGGAATTTCAACCTTTCACTTAAGAACAAAGGTTCGTTGTACAGCGGCGAGAAGGACCCACGTTTTAGTACGTTGCCTTCCAAACGCCACCAAAATCGGTGGCCCTAACATATATATTCCCCAACAGAAACAAATTGTGCGACGCCCAAAGCATCCCACGCCGTTGGTCGGCAGGGGCTATTGTATTTTTGGGAGCACGATCGAAGCACGAGACCCGGGACTGGGGCTTGAATCGCGCGTCCGGAACCTTCTTTTGGTGGGACGATGCTTTGTTTCGCCGCCCGGAGACCCGAAAACTACGACTACCGTACGGTAGGCATCGAACGGTGCCACAAGGTACGTATACGCACGGTACGGTACGGTACAGTACCAAGTACAGTACCGTACAGTGCTTTGGATTCGTTCGAGACGGGTCTTGCCGAAGGTTCCCGGAACGTTGTTTAATCGTCCTCTGAAGGCGTCACGCACAGCTACCGTACGATAGCAGCAGACTTCCGTCGCGATCCTTTCACGTACGAGTACGTACGTGCTCCCGTCCGACTCGCCAAAAACGCACGACCCACCAAGCACCAGCCGCCAAACGTCTGCGTGCATACGTACGTACATACATACATACCATCCGTACGATGAATCCGCGGACCGAAGGAGCAGGACCAAGCGGGCCGTGATGACATGCCATGCCATGCCATTCCATGCCATGCCATTCCATGCCTTGCGGGTGAAACAATGCATTCCGTCGTTCGGGTTGGCGAGCGTCCCGCTCCACCGGCATCGCATTGTTTCACTCCACCCTCCAACAACAAACAAACCCCTGGTCAACAAACACGCACATCCTGCACATCGATGCGGAGGAAAGAGGAACGAAAACCAGCAACAAAAGACACACGAAAAAAACCAGCGGTTCCTGTTCCTTGCGAGGCAAGGCAAGGCAAGGCAAACCACCGTCCAATGCAACCCAGCGTTGTGCTTTCTACTCGTGTGATACGTGTTTGTAAACAGCAGCCGGTTGTTCTTAGTCTATGTACAACAAGTAGTATACTATATTGGTTTTTGCCGTAGCGGGTGGAGAGACCGAGCGGTTTTGTTTCCTGTCGTTTCGATTCGATTCGTTTTGATTCGACTCGATTCGATTCGTTTCCTTCGTTTTGGTGTTCGTTCCTCGTTTGGCCGGTCGATCGTTTCGTTTCGTTTCGTTTCCTCGTTTTCTTTCGCCCGGCCGATCGCAACGTAGCGCAACGCAGACCGCTACCACGAGGGGATCCCGGAGGTCCGTGTGGTCCTCGTTGTGGTCTTGCGATCCAAACCACCACGAATCCCTCCCTCCCATGAAGACTTTGACAGAAAAGCCGAACAGAACCCCTTTTCTTCGAGGTACACGACTTCCGGGCTCTGTGCAAATCCAATCTCTCCACTACGAAGATCCAACCCMCAGATTCCCTTCCTCTGTGAGGATAACACTGGATCACGCGTTCTTTTCTTGCTCACGAGAAGATTGTTGCTGTTGCGACCTCCCGGTTCAAACGTTCTTGCACTTGCGCAGGCAGGTTCTTCGATGGAACGAATGCGTACGGCACGGCACGGCATGATGGTTCCTCTTGCGTTTCCTCGTTTTGGTTCGCCCGCCTTGCCGATCGCAGCGCAGCGCAGCGCAGAGCGCTACACCGTGTGGTTTTCCTCGCTGCAGTCCCGTAGGATCCCGTCCCGGACCTCCGACAGGTGGTTCCACAGGGTCTGGACCCGGACCATCCGGGCATCGATGTTGAGGTATTCGTCGAGGAGCGAGTCCGAGTCCGAGTCTCCGTCCGTCGTGCCGGCGTCTCCGTCTTCCTTCGCACGTTTCCGGATCTCCCGGACCCGATCGATCCGCGGCCTTATCGAGGCCGGGACGGCCGGCGGCTCCTGCAGGTATTTGAAGAAGCACTGCTTGTTGTTCGAGGCGTGGTAGACCAGGTGCCTGCTAAAGTCTTTGGCGGATTCCATCTCGTAGACCCKCTGCAGGCCGCAGCCCTTGTTGGAGTAGATCTGGAGGCCGCCGCTCCAGTACTCCACGTTGTGCCGGAAGAGGCCGTCGCGCTTGTGCCTTGGCAGCTCGAAGGGGGGGAGGAAACTCGTTTGCTGCTCCGGGCAGAGGGTTCGGTGGTAGTGGAGGATTTCTCCCGAGGACGCCATCCAGCCACCGGTCTGGGCGGCAAGCTTGCCCTGCCGGAACTGCAGCTCCCACGGTGCCTCGTAGTTCCCATTTTTCCGGAGGTCCTCGTCGTATCGGTTGGTGATCTGGTACCCCGCCCAGTATCCCGGGAAATTGGTGTGCCCCTTGATCGGAGAAGCGAACCACGAGCCGCCTCCGGTTTCGGAGGCGTTGGCGCCTATGGGATCCCACCGGCGGAGGAAAAACCCCGGGAGTTTTGTTTCCCACAGCACGAGGTCCTCGTTGGARGGATCGGTGTTTTCGGTGAAGGCTTGCCATGCAGGTTCTGCCACCGACGACGGCGAGGACAGCGTGGCATTCGAACCGGGGGTCGAATTCGAATTCGAATTCGCGTTCGCATCCACCCGGCAGCAGGTCTTCGGATCGATGGCGTTCTCCGAGAAAGGTTCCGGAACCGAAACCGAACGGGGGGTCCAGTCCGGGTTGTGCTTTCCCTTCGCCTTGCAGGTGTCGCGGTAGGACGCTCCGAGGACCTCGACCCGTACGAATCCGGCCGTCATGCGGCTGAGAAATCGGTAGGGGAGGGRAGCCTTCCAGGAATCCCCGGGGTAAGGATTGCCGCTCTCGCCGTCCCTGCCCGCGCCTTCGCGCTCGAGCGCGGCGTCCCTGAGCAACCGCACCCTGGCCGATACCGCCCGGTGCGTTTCGACGTGGCTCTTCGCGTAGAGCATGTCGTCTTCCATCACCACGAAAAAGTCGTAGTGCGGCAGCTTGTCCTTGACGACGAGGCGGTGCTGCCGGGCCAGCTGCGCCGAGCCCTCGCGGAGCCGGACCCGAAGGTTGCGGTGGTCCTCCGTGTCGTTGGTATTTTTCATGTAGGAGATGGGTTTGWAATCGGGCTCGGACGCATCGATGCATTTTGCAAACATGGTCGAGGCGGGCTCGTCRAAGAATTCGTCGCAGTGGTACATCAGAGGCATGGCATTGGACCAGTACTGGATCCCGGTCGAGGGAGGAAGGGCTTGGCGCAAAACGTCCTTGTCCTCTTGGGATACGTGGTAGGAGGTGATCATGTAGAGATCGACCTGGTAGTTCCGTTTCTTGCCGGTGTCGTTGCCGGTGTCGTTGCCGGTGTCGTTGCCGGTGTCGTTGCCGGTGTCGTTGTCGTTGCCGTTGCCGTTGCCGTTGCCGTCGTTTTTGTAGTAGGACTCAAGGCTTTGTTTCAGGATGGGAACAACCAAGTTGTTCCAGCGATCCCATTTTTTGCTGCTCGTGCTTTTCTTATAGTTTCTTCCCGAGGAGGTGACGACGTAAAGCACCCGAAAGGCACCGTCTTCCTTTTCCCCCGATTGCAAGAGACGGCGGCGGTGGTCGTTTTCTTCTGCTTTTGCGTTTGCTTCTGCTTCTGCTTTTGCTACCGATTCGAAAGAACCCCGAGCGTGCCCGTTCGAAACCACGGAAAGCACGCCCATGGCGATGGCTATTGCCATTGCCACGGCGAAAGGGATCCAGCGAGACGGGGACGAAGATCGCATCCCCCGCCGGCCGTTCGTCGCCGCCGCCGTCCCGAAGCTGCCCCTGCCCAGAGCTCTCGCGGCCGGACCTCCCCCGCCGCCGCCTCGGCCGGACATGTTCGCCCGAAACAGAACGGGCAAAAGGGACACACACAGACAGAGAGAGAGAGAGAGAGAGAGAGAGAGAGAGACAAAGAGACACAGAAACCGATGCAACCAATCCCCGCCGTGCAGTTGCCAACCGCAAGAATGGATTCGGTCGATGACCCTTCGTTTTGAGTTTTGACCCCTTCCCTTCCTCAAGGGTCTTTGCTTTGCATCGTACGATACGAAGATACGGTACCTGGTACGTACGTACGCACGTTGCTACTCGTACTAGGTACGGGTATGTACCGTACTACAGGGCAAGACACAGGACAGACCACGGTGGACGCBTGTGGATACCCACGCGAGGCCMACCCGTGACTGGCCCAGTCGACTCCCCCCGCACGTGCCGCGACAGAGCACACTAGATTATATGATACGACGATACGATGATATGGACTAGTAGGTACGTAGGCAGCGTCCC